TGTGGTCATAAGATAAAAAGTCAATATATTAAAAACAGTTGTATTTCCACACGTTAGCAATGATCATTTAAAAACAAAAATTTTAAAAGCACCATTTATGTGATCAAGTGGTTATGTTTTCACACTCCGCTTCCAAGGCCCAGGGTTTCGCCGGTTCAGATCCTGGGTGCAGACATGACACCACTTGTCAGGCCATGCTGAGGCAGCTCCCACAGAGCACAGCCTGAAGGACCTACAACCAGAACACGCAACTATGTACTGGGGGGCTTTGAGGAGAAGAAAGAAACAAAATAGAAGATTGGCAACAGAAGTTAGCTCAAGTGTCAATCTTAAAAAAAAAATCATTTAAAACAGCATCAAAAATATATATTTATTGGACCAGTACGGTGGCACAGCAGTTAACTTCACAAGTTCTGCTTCAGAGGCACAGGGTTTGCCAGTTCGGATCTGGGTGCAGACGTATGCACCGCTTGTCAACCCATCCTGTGGCTGGCATCCCACATATAAGTAGAGGAAGATGGGCTCGGATGTTAGCTCAGGGCCAGTCATCCTCAGCAAAAAGAGGAGGATTGGCGGCAGATGTTAGCTCAGGGTTAATCTTCCTCAGCAAAAAAAAAAAAAAAAAAATGTATATTTATTTATGAATAAATTTATCAAAAAATATGCAAGACGTCTACATTGACAGCTACAAAACATTGATGACGCAAACCAAATAACCCTAAAAAAAGGTAGATATATTATGTCCCTGTCTTAGAAGAAACAATAATTTGAAGATATCCATTTATCTGCATCTTCAATTCAATCCTAGTCAACAATTTAGCAGGCTTTTTTGTTAAAATAGACAAAAGGATTCCAAAATGTGTATGACAAAGAAAAGAGTGACAAGTAGCCAAAACAATCTTGAAAAAGAACAAAGTTGGAGGAATCACACCATCTGATTTCCAAACTTATACAGTTACATTAAGCAAATCGTTGAGATACTGACAGAGAGAGAGAGAAATAGGTCAATGGAGCAGAATAGAATCTAAAAATAGCCCCACAATATACAGTTAATTGGTTTTTGACAAAAATGCTAAGACTATTCAATAGGGGAAAGGAAAGTCTTTCAGCAAATTATGCTGAAAAAATAAAGAACTACCTATATGATAAAAAAAAATAAACCATGAGTCATACCTCATACCAGACACAAAATTCAAAGACTTAATCATGAAAGCTAAAATCATAAAGTACTGACAAGAAAACCTAAAAGCATACCTTCTAATCTTAGGGGGCGTTAACATTTCTTAAGCAGAAAATTTTTAAAAACACTAATATGAAAAAGAAAATTGAAAAACAGGATTTTTCAAAAAACATTATGCTTCCTTAACGATTTCTGTACATTAAATAGTATTTCACAGTAGCAGTAAAGTTTGTAACTTGACAAGACATATATTCAAGTGGCCCAAACTGAGAAAGAATTGGTTGTTCCAAACTCTAATTGTATCTCTGTTGCTCCTTTACAGGGTAAGCAAATCCTAGACTAAGTGCCCAGCTAACACCCAGTACTTACACCCAGTTACAGAACCTGGGGCTGCCCAAAGAAGTCCCATGTGATCCATGTGCCCCATCAGGTAATTTCACTGACAGCCATTACCAAGCCAATCTTTTCCTATTAATAGTAGAGGCACATGGCCAGCCCAGTAGCAGAGCAGTTAACTTTGCACGATACACTTCGGCAGCCCAGGGTTTGCCAGTTTGGATCCCAGGTACAGACTTACATGCCGCCTGTCAAGCCATGCTGTGGCAGGTGTCCCACTTATAAAGTAGAGGAAGATGGGCACAGATGTTAGCTCATGGCCAGTCTTCCTCAGCAAAAAAAGAGGAGGATTGGAGGCAGATGTTAGCTCAGGGCTAATCTTCCTCAAAACAAAAAATAGCAGATGCATTTTCTTTATTACATGATTTCTTTCCATTGTGTTCAAGGTGAATGTGTCCTCTCTAGCCCATGGGGGCCTGATCTGAGCTTCCCCATGCATGCTCTTTTCATGAACCCAGGTATGTATAGGGTGCATCATCACCATTCCAATCCCTTTCCTAGGCAGCAATTTATTTTCTTCATATCCTTATGATGTTAATCCCTCTACTAAATTCTCAAAGAGATTTCCTTTTCTGAGTGCATCACACAAGTAACTTTTTTGTCCGGCACCTAGAGCCCATTTGCCTGACAATACAGGCGACTCTTGGCTGCAGCCCTGGAGTCTCCAATATCTAAATGCTTCCCTAAGGGCAGGAGCCTAATCTTTGTCCACAGCTAAATAAAGAGCTTTCAACTCTACTCGCTGTGGCAGCTTACCCTTGCTTTCTTTCATCAATGTTTTAGGATCTCCAGAGCCTGCTTGAAACTGACTTCCTAACAGCAACACGGTCCTCAATTCGGGAACTGCCGTGGGTAATCCAATCCCACTTCTTCGCCCCAGAGTGCTCAGGAATGAGACCAGGGAGGTCCTGGGAGATCTCTGTTGTCCACCCAACAAATAGTGATATAACGTCTTTGTGAATGTGTGGGGCTTTCCCTGAACTTCCTCTCTTAACACGCTCTTAAAAATAAATGTCCACTCTGTGCACGAGCATGTCTGTGCTGCCCTGGCATCATGCAGAACACAACAGGAAACCACAGGTGTGTGTGGCCTCAGGACAACCTGATGCTCTTCAATGCTGGGGAGAGTTTTGTCAAACACCACTGAGAAGCTAGCAACTATTTATCAAGTGGTCTGTGAGAAGAATCTGCCTCAAGTAGTTTTCAAGTCCAAAACCCAAGACAACTTTGCAAAGAAATCCTACTTGATTTCTGCCAAGATTCTAGTCTGTACAGGTATGATGACCTCTACCACATGAACAGTCAGATCCTATGGACTCATAGGGATTGCCTGGGGTCAGCTCTCAGTAAATCTATTAAGAGTTTCTGCTCAGGGTCCTGCTGAAATTCAGATTTCTGTCGGGTGACTTTGTGAGAAGAGGCTAACAGGATTTCTAGAATAGGAGTATGATTTAGCCAAAACCAGAATAGCCCTGCTAGTCTCCGACCTTCTTGCTTATTAGCAGGCTCTTAAAAACACACTCATGTGTTGCACAGTTTGAGCAATGTCTCAGGTTGCTGGAACCCACATAATTCCCAGGAATTTCACAGATAGGATTAGGCCTTGAATATTAGCTGAAAATTTCACCTGCCTTCTAGTTATCATGTGGATGCTACAGGTCTTAACTCTCTGAGTTTATTCCTCTGAGGAAGCAATTATTTTGGTATATGCTAATTTCCCCTTAATGGTAACTGACTTCAAATCTTCTCTAACTAGATTAGGGCAATATGCTAATAAACTCAAATATCCCTGTGGCAATACAGTAAATGTGCACCGAGTTCCACTCTGTGAAAATTCCAATTGCGCCTGGGTGGACTCAGAGACTGTTATGGAAAAGAAGGCGTTAGCTGAGTCTGCGAGGGTCTGCTGAATCCTCTCGGCCTGGCACGCTTCCTAGTCTCTGTCACACCAGGTCCAGCTGAAACAACCAGAGGACACACCTTGTTTGATCTTTGATAGTCTCGTTTACCTGTTACTCACTGGCATGCCAGAATTGTTTAAAAAAAGATTTAGTAGGAATCAAATTCCAGCTCCAATCACTTCCCTAATAAGAGCATTAAGGACATGTTGTGCTCCTTGAATTTTGGACTGCTTACTTTACTGTTAGTGAGAGCTCAGGCAATTTCAAAGGTTCCCATTTAACCAGCATGTCAAAACTGGGCAAAAAGTTAACATAGCAGATATCCACCGTAAAAAGGACACAGGCACCATGCCTTGTTCATATACAATATCCATCCAGATCATGCATTTAGATGCGTAAAACCAGCCAAAACCCTCCAGGAGCACAGCTGTAGTTGAAAAGGTTGGGTTTATTACTCATTGCAATGGGGGAGAACATAAGCCATGGGGAATCGCAGAGAGGTGTCTTACTACAAGGGTGTTAGAAAGGATTTGCTACAGTTTGGGGCTCATGTTGGGTGATGTGGGGGAGGGTTTAGGGAAGCAGACCTTTGCTCTGGGTTGGATGCTGTCAGGGAGCATCAGTGATGCTAGGATGGGGTATCTTAACAAATCTTATCTAGAGGAGAACAGATGAGAGTGAGGCTAAGTCTGTAATGGGTTATGAAGCAGCAATCACTGGGGATTTTTATGGTTTTTTTATGGTTTGTGCACTAACTTTGTTTTGCATCTGTACTGAGACAAAATTATCAAGTGATCTTCTTTTTTTGCCTCACTCCGTCACAGTCACCGAGTGCCCTTGGTGGATGTTGGTGTTTTGAGAGATTGTTTGTGTCCAGCAAGAGAGCACCATTTCCTAGCTGTGATGCCAGGTCAGCCCTCAACAACTCCAAAGCCTGGATGGGCCAGGCCAGTTCCCAGATGTCAGGAGCTGCTTTTCCCTTTCTCGCCTCCTAAGTCATTGCAGATAAGACAATACTTACGGGTCAGTTAGCAGTAGAGTTTCGTAGACTCAAAACTAAACATTAGTGCCTGGTACGTGTTGATTAGAATTCATGTCAGAGAAATCTCTAGTCTCTAGTGATAGACCCAAGGATTGTTTCTTATTTTAAAAAATTGGATAAACGTGGGGCTGGCCCCGTGGCCGAGTGGTTAAGTTCGCGCGCTCTGCTGCAGGCGGCCCAGTGTTTCGTTAGTTCGAATCCTGGGCGCGGACATGGCACTGCTCATCAGACCACGCTGAGGCAGCGTCCCACATGCCACAACTAGAAGAACCCACAACGAAGAATACACAACTATGTACCGGGGGGTTTTGGGGAGAAAAAGGAAAAAATAAAATCTTAAAAAAAAAAAAAAAAAAAAAATTGGATAAACGTGCAAAAAAAACCATTAACAGTAACACAGAGGACTAGATAAAATTACAAGTATCTGTCACTTGGATTGACTACAAATTGGAAAACCAATCACCAACTCATAAAACATAAATACTATTTTTGATGTTGCTCATTATTAATCTTTATTTGAAAGCAGATAAACTGATTAGAGGTAAGAAAGAGAAGGTAGGCATGGTAAGTAGTTGCATTAAATCAGATGAAGGGACATTCTGGCCCAGCCCAGCGGGATCACACGCAGAGGGCCCAGTCTGACTCTATCTCATAAAAGTTTCTGAGTTTCATTTTCCCAGGATTTTCCTTATCTGATCGAATATACCTGCAAAAGAAAAAAAATACATAGTCATGAGGATTCCAAAAATGGAGGGAAAATGTAGCTTCATTCTTGGAAATCAGCAAGGAGACTAACAAAGGTCAAATGGCACTGAATACAGTGGAGTCAAAAGGAACATTAGATTTTCATCCCAGGAAGATAAACAACTACTCCTGTACAAGAGAAATTGTATGTGCAGCCCTGGATGGAAGCTTAGGTAGGCCGGAAGCTTACAGAGAACAGGAAGAAGGCAAATATGTATTAGTTTTCCCCATTGACACAAAGCTATCCAGACTTCTTCTGATAAGACATAAATACTCATTCTTTCACCCATAAGCCACCCAGTACAGATCCTTGAGCAAGGTGCCAAGCATTGGTCCAGACACTGAAACAATAAAAAGTAATATTTCAAAAAGTTTCCTCAGGATTTGGGTTAAGTACAAATCAAAGCTCGTTTCTTATTGCACATATGATAAGGGGAAACTTCTCACTGTAACTATTTCATTTCTTCTTCTTTAAAATGTTTATTTCATAGAGTTACTATGAGATTTAAATGCATTATATATGTGAGGTGTATACCATGAGGCCTGGCATATATTCAGAGTCAGCAAATTTGGTAATCAACGTTACATAAAAGTAGAAGGAGCAGGAAAACTGACATAGGAAGAGGAAGACGGTACCTAATCCTCTTTGCAGTTCCAAATTCCCAGAAATACCCTAAATAACACTCAAAACATTCTGCCTCAAGGAAGCCTCATTATAAAGCCATTTTCTATTTTTGGAAAATTCTTGAAAGGAAACAAAGAATTTTCTGATTAAAAAACAAGTATGGGGGCTGCACCAGTGGCACAGCGGTTAAGTTCACACAATCTGCTTGGTGGCTTGGGTTTCGTGGGTTCGGAGTCCAGGCATAGACCTACCCACAGTCCATCAAGCCAAGCTGTGGCAGCATCCCACACACAAAATAGAGGAAGATTGGCAACAGATGTTAGCTCAGGATCAATCTTCCTCACCAAAAAAAAAAAACAAAACAAACATAAACAGTAACCTGGCCACATGAGGCACCTACTTTAGTCTTTCCAATGTCATTGCTACTAAAAATGAATTTTCCCTATTAAGTGCTGATAGTTCAAGAGCCGTGCAGGTAAAATTGGTAAATGAGAAGCTGTACCCTCCTGGCTCCTCTGATGTGTATCTGTTGACTTGATTTGTGAAATCACAAGGAATTAGAGAATAATGAGAAGAAAACTGGGCTTTTCTCATGACTTCTCCTCACTGCCCCTCAAATATACTTTACTGTGAGAATAGGGAACCCAGGAGCCCCATAATGAAAGCACTTAGATGGGTGGTCTTACTCCCTGAAAGAAAGTTCTTCCTGGTAGTAGCAGCAGTGGTGCTGGCGGCAGAGGTCGTGGAAGCAGGGGCAGTGGTCACGGCAGCAGTGGAGGCAGCTGAAATTAGGAGGAAAAGTTCCAGGTGAGAAACGTGACTCTTCCTCATGGAACCAAATTTGTCCCACACGAGCTTGGATATACATTTCTCATTCTGATTTCATCTCAGCAAATGGCATCAATTCAGTCATCCCTTAAGCCTGGCTACCCACTTTCCTCTTACCCCACTCTTCCTAGCACTGTCCTTGGTGGAGCAGAAAGAATTTGGGGGTTCCCTCCAAGGACATTGAGGCTGATAGAAGAGACAGACAAATGCCTTGCCCAGGCATGAGCACAAAAGACCAAATCCACATGTCTTCCTGTTCACAGGGACTACTGCCCAGAGGCAACAAGGAAATCCCCCAGGGACTGACGTTCTGGTGTCTTCCCACAGAAGCACCTAGAACAGAATAGTTGCCATGGCAGAATGAACGAGTGTGAGCAGAGGGGTAAACGCTACAGGAGAAGAGAAGAAGGAGTAAGGAGATGTGCCTCAGATTAGGACAATAGTATCTCCCTTCTTTGACTGCAGTAAAAATCTCTCCCTTCAGGTTCTGGCCTGAAAAGGGGTCATATTTACCAGAGCTTTTGTATCAACTGGGACTCCATCGATTACCGCAGTAATTGTGAGGGCCACGTTAGACATAGTGAGAGACATTGGCACTATTCTGGCAGACACATGAGCAAATGCGCCATCAAGTACTCCATGTTCAGGGGGAACTTGTCGGAGTTTATGAGATTATCACTCTCTGTACCTTACACCACAGCTACTACAAATAGCAAGAGTCAGAGCCCATATTTCTGCGTAAAATCCGCCTCAACAACTGGATAGCTCCATTTCCATTCCCACACTCTAGCCATGCTGTCTCAGGCCACATTCAGGAAACCGGATATTTTTTATATTGGACCCCACAAGGCAGTAGGGCATGGCATACGGTGTGAGCTCTGACTAGCGTCAATGTCCTCACGAACAAAGGACACAAATCCCCGAGCTATGGAGGATGAAAAGAGAGCTCTTCGTAATGCCCACATGAGCACACACACACAGCATAGAATGTGCGGGACACGGTGGGAGAAGCCCAAGAATGACCAGGGGCTTTGGTTCACAACCTTGGGTTTCAGGCCAGGGAAGGAAAGCGGTTATCAGTCTGCAAAGAAGGCAGAGACACCATTACAAAGAGCAAATCTTAGCGCCCTTCTACTTGGCCCTGCATTCCACATCCCTCGTCCCTCCCTCCCATGTGGTCCTAATGCCCTCATCCCTACGTCACCTTGGAATTACATTCTCTTCCTTCATTCTGGACCCAACTGGCCTCTTATTTTCACACTGGCCATACATTAAGCCTTTCAATTAATGGTAACCAAAAAGACTTTACACACATCTCACTAGAATCCCAGGCCACAACAACAACCACATTCCCCCGTCCTTTCTACTAGAGAACAATGAATGATTAATCCACAATTTCTATAAATCTATGCCAGAGACTTCATGTTCTCTAATTAATGCATAAGAAATAAGCAGATTGTCTATGTTCACCATGAACTTTAGAATCAAGAGTATGGTTTTCCCAGGCTTCTCTTCAGGATTCCTTATACCCTGTGCCCCACGGCAGCTTTGACATGGGGCTGGGAGGGAAAATGGCCATTGCAGGAAGGAGATGAAGTGCAAGCGCAGGCTCACCAGAAGAGGTGTCAGAGGGAGCATCCGTTGCATTCTCTGAAAGAGAAAAAGAAAAAACAGGAGGTAAGTGCAACGCCAGTCTGCGGTGTGGAGGGAGGAGAGAACATGGACAATAATGCAGGCTTTTACACGCTGAGGAGGGAAAGATGCACAGATAATATAAATCCCATGAAAACATAACAGGATGTCATTTTTGCTCTCCTGAAAGAAACCTTCTTAAACATATTTACTGACACGAACAATGAAGTTGGGTTCCAAGGTTAGAAATGAGCAAACATCTGACGGAAATAGAAAAAGCCTAAGGGTACTCAATGCTTCTTGAATGGGCAGTCCAAATGGTGATGGAACAGAATAGTGGAGTAGAGGACAGGAGGCACCAGCACTCTAGGCTCCCCAAAACCCACGTCCACATAGAGCTCATATCTTGGTGAACTGTTCCTCCAAACCTTATTTTCAGGTCAGAATCTTTACTTACGGCCAGAGACCAGGAAGGTGGAAACGGCCACCAGGACCAGGAACGCCAGGAGCTTCATGATGGCAATTGAAGAGCAGGGAGGGCAGAGAGGAAATCTTCAGACCCCAGGAGAAGGTAAGACTGTGGCTCCAGCATTCCACATCCTGACATTTTATAGGCAGAGGGCACCAATAAGGAGCTGCCAGATCAAAATCCGGGTTAGTTAATGCCAGGAAATGTTCTTACTCAGAGAAAACACTGGAGAATCAACAGCACAGCCAGAGGCCGTTGGAAAGATCATCACATCAGTCCCTCAATTCTGAAACAGGCTTCAATTCAACAGTCTCCTTTAGTAAATATTTCCCAGGCAACTGCTTTTTTTCCAGGCTTCTTCTTACCTCGTAGGCTAGAGCGGCACCGTGAGGAACAGCTCTTCTGACAACCTGGAGAAGCCCCACACCCAGCCTCCCTGACTTACTCAGATCTGCCGGACTCCCTTCACAGACATTAGAAGTTGTAAGCTTACAGCTTGCTTAGCCCTCAGTCCCCTCTAAGGGGAATAATCAGGGGAGAGTAGCCTGACATGAGACCTACCCTCTGGAAGTCAGGCTGTGCATTCTTCAAGCTATGGTCTCCCTCTTGCACATGTCTGTGAGGTCGTCTGACATTCACACAGAGTGAGCCCAACACTGATATGATCCCTCTGGAGTGAAGCAATTCTGGTGTAAAAATTCCAAGTCAAAGAGAAAGAAGATAGAAAGATAAATGAACATTTGTCATGTAAGGTGTTCATTGAATCCATCCTGTTCATTCAACAGATATTTATTGAGCATCATTAAGTGCCTGGAATAATGCTAGACATTAGAGAAACAGCAATGAACAAAGCACACAAATCTTCCATGCCATACCTCCTACTGTGGGACTTCATCCTTTAAAAAGTAAACAGGAAGCAAGGAAGGAAGGAAGGAAAAAAACGAAAACAATATACTCTATGCAAGGTGATAAGCCCTAGTAAACAATAATACAAGAAAAAGGAAAGGAGAATATCATTGGAGATGCAAAGAGCAATTATAATTTCAGATAAGGTAGCCAAAAAAGCCATACTGAAAAGGTAATTTGAACGAACTCTTGAAGATGCTGAGAAATCAACCATGTCGTCTCTTGGGAAAGTGTAATCCAAGGAAAGGAAACATGACACAAATCCGTAATGGTGTTCCAGGTCACTCTGCAGTTGTTGAGTAGGGCCCAGACATCTCAAACTACTTTCCCTGTATTCTAACACACCCCAGCTGCTAAGGAAACACAGCAAGGAAGCACAGAATGCACATTCACAACACAACCAAATGTGGGGCCCATCCAGCACTCCAACCAGGGGTACCGAACATCTCCTAGAATATCTAGAATAATACCAAGTCACTACATTCTAAAGGTTTCTCTGAAGTTAAGTGGCTCTAACACTTTGAAAGTTGTTCTTGTTCATACAAAGGATGCCTTTTTGTAACATACTCTCGTTGGGAGGAGCTTGTCGTCTGGAACAGCACTGAACATCTATTCCCTCATTTTTAAATTGAAATATATTTGACATATAATACCGTATAAATTTAAGGTGTACAATGTGTTAAATTGATACATTTATATATTGTAATGTAATTGCCATTGTAGCAATAATTAACACCTTTATCATGAAACATAATTATAATTTATTTTTAGTGGTTGGAATAATTAAGTTCTCGTGTCTTAGCAAGTTTGATGATTATAATACTATATTGTTGTCTATGTTCACTCTACTGGGCATTAGATCTCCAGGGCTTACTGATCATCAGGGAAATGCAAATCAATCCCACAGGGAGATATCTCCTCACACCTGTTAGAATGGCTATCCTCAAGAAGACAAGAGATAATGAGTGTTGGCAAGGATGTGGAGGCAAGGAAATCGTTCTGCACTGTTGCTGGGAAGGTGAATTGGTACAACCACTATGGAAAACACTATGAAGTTTCCTCAAAAAGTTAAAAATAGAGCTAACATATGATTCAGCAATTCCACTTCTGGGTATATACCTAAAGGAAATGAAAACAGAACATCAAAGAGATATCTGCACTTCCATGTTTACTGCTGCATTATTCTCAATAGCCAAGATATGGACACAACCTACGTGCCCAACAACGGATGAATGATAAAGAAAATGACAATGGAATATTCTTCAGTTATGAGAAAGAAGGACACTCTGTCATTAGCGATGACGTGGATGAAACTTCAGCGCATTATGATAAGTGAAATAAGTCGGACAGAGAATACAAGTACTGTATGACATCACTTATATGTGGCATTTTCTAAAGCCAAATTCATAAAAACAGTGAGTCAATTGGTGGTAACCCAAGAGATGGAGGACCAGGGGACAGGATAAAAGTCGTTTAAGGATACAAACTTGCATCAAGTAGTAAATAAGCCCTAGAGGTCTGTGCCTGCCTTTATAGGAGAGCCTATCAACAACAACAGTCACTCTACTTACCAACACATGCCAATGGGTCCCCATCAGGCAAATGCAGAAAGGCAGAAGAAATTCCTGAGAGAGGGGACTTTACTCTCTGAAAGGCAAGCAGATGTCCTTGTCATAGGTAACCTCGTTTCTGCCATGAGACACAGAGTTGTCATACCATGGTGAAGAGTTACCATAAAACAATGCCAAAAAATAAAATAAAAATTTAAAACATATTCTGAAGTGAAAAAGAAAGAGAGGAAGATTAAAAGGAGGTGAAGAAGGAAGTAACACAGATATTGAAGATGCTCTCTGGTTATACCCAGTATGGAATGAACTCTACCAGCCACATACTCAAGGCCTTTCAACAAAACTGGACCAAATTTCAGGGTTGCCTAGAAGACAGATTACACATCAAGGGCCACTGTCTGCCTGCCACTGTGCTTGACAATGCAGAGGCACTGAGAGCCACCAGATGGGGTTAAGATAATGACTGGTTTGCAGAGGAAAGGAGATTAAATGTGTATCCATTAGGGTCCACTCAGGACTTAGAAACAACACAAGGGCTCAAACAGGAGAAGTTAAATATAAAGAATTACTGAATTCTGATACATGAGTAACTAGAAGGACGCTCTATAAGGAACAACAGAGCTGAGGAGACTATCCAAGACAAGACAATCATGGAAAGCAGCCTCCTCCCTAAAATTGTGGTCCAGACCTCAGTCAAGAAGTGAAGGTGCAGGTCAATCCACGGGATAGTAGAGAAGCTTGCTGGTTTTCCTGACAGAAGCTGACCTGCAGTGACCAGGGAAGCAGGGAAACCCCCCACCCAGTGTAACTGGGAGCAGACAGTCAGCAGCCAATGCCCTGGATGTGCAGAGGCGACGGGGGCAGCGGGGTGGCTCAGAGTCCAGCTGAGCCACATGGGGCCTGCAGACAGAGCTGCAGCTCAGTGGGAATCCTCCAGACTAATAGCAAGGCCCTGTAGAGAGAATTGGGATGGGCGCAGAAAGGAGGTTTTGGGTTGTCAATTCCCATGTCAAGAGGCTTGTGGAAAGATTAGTGCCAGTCCAGACCAAAGCCACAGGTTCCCCCAGGGCCTGCAAATGCTGAGCACTTGACTGGGGCAGAACTCAACCAAATATGCCCACACTGCTGACCCACTGTGCTGCCACCAGAAACCACAGGAAAGCAAGCACCTTCCTCCTGCGGTTTCTCTCCAACGGCCTCTACTGAGAAAGCTTAGCATCACGGTCACTGGAAAAGAGAAACGGTGAAGTGAATTCTCTCCATTACGGCAGAGTAAATACTGAGGGGTGAATTTGGAACTGAGAGGCAATAAATTGATTGCTGGCACAACAAGTAAGATAAAAATACAAACAATTCAGAGCCTCAAATGCTGGGGGTGGAGTGAGAACACAGAGTAAGAGAATTCCAAGCCCTCACCAAGGTTTCCACCAGAACAGCTCAACTTTCGTCTATCATCTACACCAGCTTTCAGAGTGAATTCAAAGAGTTTGGAGACTTTGAAATTCTGAATTATGGGAATTTTGATGACATTATAATGGTTTAAGTAATATTTTTTAGCATTATCAATTTAAGAGGGATCTAAAACTTCACTGATAACATAACATACGTAAATATTTAAAATACAGTCAGACATAGCACCAAATTTTTTCACTAAGATAAACAGCATATATATGGGTTGGTCATGTGATATCAAACTTAGACAGAGATCATTCCCACGTCTTTACATTCTTCCATTTTATGTCGCATCTGTCAAATTTTATGTAATATATTTCATGTAAAACCAACCTTTATCTATCCATCTATCATCCAATTTATTGTCAATTTATTTATGCCTCAAGATATTTATTCTTACTTAGAAAATAAGAAGTAAAAGTATATATCTCCTAAGAAAATCAAATTAAATCCATAACACATCTCCAAAACATTTTATTACTGTTCTTCCCCATCCTTTAATAATTTTTATAATTTTCATTATACAAATTAAAATAAGGAGCCAGCCCGGTGGTGTAGTGGTTAAGTTCGCATCCTCTGCTTCGGCGGTCCAGGTCTGTGGATTCGGGGCCTGGCACAGGCCTACACACTGTTCATCAAGCCATTCTATGGTGGCATCCCATATACAAAATAGACGAAAATTGGCACAGATGTCAGTTCCCGGACAATCTTGCCCAAACAAAAAGAGGACGATTGGCAGCAGATTTTAGCTCAGGCTCAATTTTCCTTACCAAAAACAAGTTAAAATAGAAGTATACATAAGAAAGGAAAAGTCACCAGACCTTCCAAGACAATGAGATAACTGCCATTATTAAGTGGTAATTGCATATCTCCTAAACACTTTTAGGCCTATATGAATACATGTATAGTCATTTATCTCCACTCCTCCATGCCTAGCATTCCATACTATGACTGTCACCACAACCAAAAAGCAAATGTTAAATAAATTTCTCCATATTCCTATTATCATATGCAAATGGTATATATACAAATGTATATGTATATGCGTTTGTGTCTTACAAAATGGTATGCAAAGTGGCATTATACTCTCGACCATTCTTTCTTCTCTGTACACTCAACACTACTTCTCAAAACTCGAAGTCAGCCACTGTAGAGCTGTATCATTCTCTCAGTGGCTTTGTCATATCATCATTTACTCCAGCATTACCTGTTAATGGG